GACCCGGGCCCGCCCCCGCCGGGCGGGACCCGCAGCAGCAGCAGGGAGCTGGCACCACAGGAGCTCCTCGGTGGGTCTGGGCCAGCAGCAGGATGCGGAGGAGCAGGATGAGGCCCCTGTTGCTGCAGGTACTGATCTGGGCCCTTACATCGGCTTATGCTCCCCAGGGACCTGCCTGAGCACTGGGGTCCCTGGGGACCCTCTGCTCTCAGCTGTGTGGGGCTGGTCCTGGCTGGAGGTCTGCGGGTGCCCGGGAAGAGGCATCAGCCTCTGCCCCACACTGGGGATGGCGGGGCATATGGGTTAGTGTAGCAGCCCTGGGTCATGAGGGTCCTGGGAGCCCAGGGGCTCTCAGGGCTTTGCTCTTTTGCAGAGCGAGCGGAGACTCCCGGGTCTCCGGCCAGCGGCTCCTCCCCTACCTACGGCTGGGAAAAGCAGAACTGCTCGAACGGTGCGTCCGGGGTGGAGGGGCCAAAGTCTGGATGGCTGGGGAGAAGGGGGTGCCCTTAGCACTCTGTTGCTGGCAGCCAAGGTTGCTGGCAGCCAAGAGCTGGAGCATCTGCTGTGCCCATGCCTGCCCTCACTGCCTGGGACAGGTGCTGGAGAGCAGGACCACTGGGTGCATCACGGCCCCCTCCATGCTCAGATGTCCTTCCTTGCAGGGCCTCCAACCAGCCCCTCCACCACCTCCATGGGCTCCCAGAAATCCACGGACATCATCACTGGCTCCAGGTGAGGCTGTGGGGTGAGGGGAAACGAGGGCCCAAAACATGGCATGTTGCAGGGAGGGGGGACAGTGCCACTTCTTGGGTGCTGCAGGTCCTATGTCCCCTGCCAGCTCCTGCAGCATAAAGGGTGGGTTTGGTGTTCCAGCCCCTTCCCCGCAGCAGGCTGGGGTCCAGCTGCCCCTCAGGAATTGTCCCCCACCCTTCCGCTAATTCAGCTGTTTGTCCTCCAGGTTTGCCCTGAGCAGGCGCCGGGGGCCCAGCCTGGCACTGCGCCCACAGTGCCTCAGCCCAGAAAGTGACTGCTCCCGCAACCACGCCAGCCACGACTACCTCCCACTGGTAAGGACCCCATCCCCATCCCAACCAGAGTGAGGGGCTAAGCAGGCACCTTCCCCACCGGATTGCAGCCGAGCCGCCGGGCAGGTGCCAGCAGCAGCGCCCAGCCAAGGATGCAAAGCCCATGGGTGCCTGCTCAGCCCCGCTGCACGCTCAAATGGCCCTGGGGGCCTTTGCTGGCTTTTTTTGTTGGACAGTCCCTGTGCTCCAGGAACACTCCTGCAGCCCCCCCACCACTAAGTGCTGAGGGCCATGGTTGGTCTGTGCCCCTGCCTGACCCCGCAGTCACCTGTCCCCTTCCATTGCAGGTCCAGCTGCAGCAAGCCCAGGGGCCATTCCAGCTCACTGAGAGCTTCTCTGAAGTGGTGCAGATCCCCCTGGACCGCCTGCACCGGGCCTCCCCGTACGCCTCCCACCGAGCCAGCCTCAGCCCCATGTCCCCTGGAGCCAGGAGCAGCCCTGAGGCAGGGCCCTGTTGCGAGGAGGGGGAGGAGGC